GAGTGCGTGGGTGTTGTAGTTGAAGTAGGCAACGGCGATAACGTCAGTGTAAAATGCGCAGACGGCAGAGTGCGCAAATTCTTCCTGGCTAGCATTCGGCCACCCCGTGGAGGCGAAGAGAAGAATAGTCAAGCTGGTGCCCGTCCTCTTTACCAGATCCCACACCTTTTTGAAGCGCGTGAATTTCTGAGGAAACGACTGATCGGAAAGCAGGTTAGTGTATCAGAAGCTTACGTGTATTGGTGGTTTCGAGTCTCTTGTAATCGTGCTCAAAATGGCTTTGCGTTTTGTTTCTAGGTGCGAGTGTTTGTTGATTATATCCAGCCAAAACCAGAAGACAGTACGTTGGATGATCGTGTATGTGCAACCGTAATGGTCGGTGACACTAACATTGGTGAGGCCCTAGTACAACGCGGTCTTGCTTCGGTGGTGCGTTACCGCAAGCCAACGGATTCGCGTTCACGTGATTATGACGCTCTACTGGCAGCAGAGGCACAGGCGGAGAAAAAGGCCATTGGTATATTCGACTCAAAGGTTGGTGCACCACCTCAGCGATTGAGTGAACTAGGAGGTAAGCGGCCGTTGTGCTCTTTCTCAGATGTTATGTGTTGCAGCGAAGTGTCTTTTGTGTTGTTGAGAACCTAATGATTTTCTCCGCATAATTTGTTCCTGCCGCAGACCACCTGTGTTATTACACAGGCCTCGTGATTGTGGTGTGTAACTGGGATGATGAACGGCAGAAATGGAGGCTTGTATGTTATGCTGTGGACTGTGTACATTGTAGGGAATATGGCCAAGTCGCGGCAGTTCCTCTCATCACTGCAACGTGCTGGAACGGTTGACGCACTTGTGGAGTTTGTGGTGTCTGCTTCGCGTCTCCGCTTGCATATTTTCCGCGAAAACCTGCTCACAGTAGCTCTCGTATCTGGCATCATTTCACCAAGACCCACGAGGTAAGCCTTGGCCGCTAGTCACTTCCCGTATTCACTGATTCGTGTATTTTCTGTTTTGGGACGCCAATCTTACCACTCCCTCATTGTCGGTGTGGTGTCTCCTTGCAATCCTTCATCTGTGCATATGTTCAATCCTCTTTTTTAAGGAGAACGGCCAATCAGACGGAAGAGCGCGAGGAGCCGTTTGGCGACGAGGCGCGTGAATATGCGCGTGATATTGTGATGCAACGCGAGGTGAAGTTCGATTGTGAAGGATTGGACCGTCTCGGCAACTTGATTGGTTCTATCACCCTACCTTCGGAGGTGAAGGTGATGAGTTGCGGTGTTGATAAACAGGGCAAGAAAGGCAAGTCTTCTCGTGGACCGTGCTTCGTCAGTAGGAACCTGGGAGCAGTGCTGGTTGCCAGGGGTTACGCCTACGTGAACAGGGCGCCAAGTGCACAGAGGACCAGTCAGTATGGCCTCCTGCTAAAGGCAGAATCGTTCGCCCGCGAACACAATCTCGGTTTGTGGTCTTCGGAGGAGTTTCGTATGTCATGGGAATCGGAACAAGGTTTGACGGGACATGGAGATGAAGGCGACGAGGTAGCTGAAGCGAATGCCGACTCCAACAAGCTAATATCCGTTGATGAATTGAAGAAAGCCTTGCCAGACACTGACGCCAATCGTGAGGCCGCGGCTGCTCGACTTGTAAGTTGAGTGTGTGTGTGTGTGTCTGTAAGAGCCAGTCTGCTACGATCGTTGTACAAATCCTTAATGCGGCCGCCAAGTTCTTACAGGTGATGTATTTAACTGCTAGCCTAACAACTGATAGATCAGTGAACTTATTGGTAGGTGGTAATAGCTTTGTGTCGCACTCGAAGTTAATTGATATTGGTGTGTGCGCCGCCTCAATTCTGCTTGATGCCCATCGTGTCAGGTGTACGTATGTGGTCAAGTTTGCTTGTTGATTCGCCCCCAATATTATCGGTGCCCGGGTAATGAATGTTGTCACTGAGTTTTCATGTGTAGTGATATTTGTTGGATGCAACGGGCGGAGCACCGACGGCTGTCTCACGTGTGTGTGTGTGTGTTTTTCTTTGCAGAAGTCGGCCAAACCCGCTCAGGTGACACTCATATGTAGTTACCTCGCTGGAAGCGATGGACTACGATTTTTTGTGCATTTGGATAGTCGAATTGGACTTCTAGAATCAATGAAGCGTCAGTTGAA